AAAAAGGAACACTTTTACACTGTTGGTGAGACTGTAAACTAGTTCAACCACTGTGGAAGACAGTGTGGTGATTCCTCAAGGATCTAGAACTAGAAATACCATATGACCCAGCCATCCCATTACTGGGTATATACCCAAAGGATTATAAATCATGCTGCTATAAAGACACACACACACGTATGTTTATTGAAGCACTATTCACAATAGCAAAGACTTGGAATCAACCCAAATGTCCATCAGTGACAGATTGGATTAAGAAAATGTGGCACATATACACCATGGAATACTATGCAGCCATAAAAAAGGATGAGTTCATGTCCTTTGTAGGGACATGGATGCAGCTGGAAACCATCATTCTCAGCAAACTATCGCAAGAACAGAAAACCAAACACCGCATGTTCTCACTCATAGGTGGGAACTGAACAATGAGATCACTTGGACACCGGAAGGGGAACTTCACACACCGGGGCCTGTCGTGGGGAGGGGGGAGGTGGAAGAGCTAGCATTAGGAGATATACCTAATGTAAATGACGAGTTAATGAGTGCAGCACAGCAACATGGCACATGTATACATATGTAACAAACCTGTATGTTGTGCACATGCACCCTAGAACTTAAAGTATAATAAAAAAAATAAAATAAATGAAACACCATTACTGCATACTTTTTCAAGAGCTATAACAGACTTCGTATCTGCTCCAAAAGCAAAGTCGTAAAATTTTTAAAAAGAAAAGATGTTATAGAATAAATGACTTAGAAACAATCAATCTTCTTTTCACACATCTCAGGATCTCAATATATTTGAAATGCTAAAATTCTAAAGTTGCTTGGATGATCTCCAAACTCCTAAACTGGTATCATCAGAAAACATTATAATTCTATATACAACTTACACAGTTTCCTTAAACATTCAGGAAGAAACTTGTATGATACAACTTTATACTGAGTTAGGTCAAGACTATATGAGGCCTTATAGGATTCAACGTCTTTTAGAACGTTTATTTTTTTCATGGATAACATCCCAAGGTGACCTATGTTGACACTGGTTGGTAGAAAAGTCATAGTTCACAACTAAACTTTACAATCAAATGCAGCACTTTCATCTTCAGGATTACTCTCTACAAAAATTCATTTAAATTGCCAGGCATGGTGGCTCACGCCTGTAATTTCAGCACTCTGGGAGGCTGAAGCAAGTGGATCACCAGATCAGGAGATCGAGACCATCCTGGCTAACATGGTGAAACCCCGTCTCTACTAAAAATACAAAAAATTAACCGGGCATGGTGGCAGGTGCCTGTAGTCCCAGCTACTCGGGAGGCTGAGGCAGGAGAATGGTGTGAACCTGGGAGGCGGAGCTTGCAGTGAGCCGAGATCGCACCACTGCACTCAAGCCTGGGCGACAGAGCAAGACTCCATCTCAAAAAAAAAAAATTCATTTAAATTATTTTCCATTTTCAAATAATAAAACCTCTTAATCCTTTTTTGAGGATAGTGTTCTAAGACACGTTATTGCCATATTACTTTTTAAATTTTTAAAATATATACTTACATTAATACAGAAAAATGTGATGTTAATGTAATTTGCATTAAGAATTAATATTTCTGAAAGCTAAGAAATACTGAGAATATTTATACATGTAAATATATTTGCCTGTTAAATCAGTACCACACTTGTAATTTATATTTCATGCTAATCAGATCTGAATAATGAAAGAAATTCCTTATTTAACAATGGTTTGCATTCTTCAAATAATTACACTTTACCTCCCTAGGTAACTGACCACATTGCTAATCATGTGTAATGATAATGGCTTTTAATGTCAATTAGAGGAATTTGTTACAGATGACTAATTCACTTTACAAAGAAATTTCTAGTTAATTTACAAAGAATTTGTAAGGAATGTTTAGTGCCCTGAATTTCCTTTTTTTAAGCTGCATTTTCTTTTTTTCCTTTTTTTTTTTTTTATTTACTTATTTGTTTTTGTTTTTTTAGAGACAGGATCTCACTCTGTAGCCCAGTCTAAAGTGCAGTGGCACCATCCTAGCTCACTGCAGCTTCAAACTCTTGGACTCAAGCAATCCTCCAGCCTCAGACTCTCAAGTGGCTAGGACTTCAGGTGCACGCCACCATGCCTGGCTAATTTTTTTTTTTTTTACTAGAGACAGGGTCTCATCTCACTACGTTGCCCAAGCTGGTCTCTTTTAGGGTTAGTTTTAGGGTTAGGGCCTCGAGCCAAATATATATGCCTATAAGCAATACTACATCATATCTCTGTTACTGTATGTGAGCATAAATACACCTATGCATATGTGTGTATGTATATGTAAAAATTCATGAATACATACATGTATTTGCTTCCCTCCCATATGGGAAAATACCATTAAAGAATGGCCCACAGCCCAAGACTGTTGTACAAATAAACATTTCTATTCTAAATTTGATTTATGTACATGTTGATGCCTCTAGTTATATGTTGCATATTTCCTTATATGTCTAAAAGTATTCATGTTTATGTGTATGTTTGTCTTTATTCCTAGTTAGATCTTTTCCTAGGTCCTGTGTCTATGATTCACTCCAGACCATAGCATGGATTCTATTGTTCCTTGAGAGGGGCAGTTTCAAAACAGGAGACTGAGGCTGGGCTCAGCAGCTCAACGACTGTAATTCCAACACTTTGGGAAATCAAGGCAAGAGAATGGCTTGAGCCCAGGAGTTCAAGACCAGCCTAGGTAACACAGGTAGACACCATCTCTACAAAAATTAAAATTAAAAAAATTAGCCAGGCAAAAGGATTGGAAGGAGAAGTTGTCAGACGTTGGTTTTCAGCTTTAACTTCCTGTCTGCACAGAGGAAAAAAGAATCTATAGGAAAATTTTACATTTTTCTCCAAGGAGCAAGGAACAAACTACCAATGTTTTTAAGTTGCAGACAGCATCTGTATATCCAGTACATAAATTTTATTTTAAAAGTTCACTCAGGGCCGGCAATGATGGCTCATACCTGCAATCTCTCCCTGCACTTTGAGAGGTCAAGACAGGGGGATCACTTGAGCCTGAGCAACATAGCAAGACCCCATCTCTGCCAAAAAAAAATTATTTTTGAAAAATAAAATAAATAGCCAGGTATGGAGGCACACATCTGGGGTCCTAGCTACATGGGAGGCTGAGGTAGGAGAAGGGCTTGGGCCCAGGAATCAAGGCTGCAGTGAACTATGATTGTGTCACTGCACTCCAGCCTGGGTGACAGAGGAGATCCTGTCTCAAAAATTAAAAAATAAAAGTTCACATAGGCAAGAGAGAAAATAAGAACAGATTCTGTTAAATAAAATTTATAGGAAGTGATTGGTTTGGACTGAGCTCCTGTACTAGGCCTAACAGACCAAACCAAAATGGAGTTACTCATGCTGAAGTTCCACTCACTAAGCCAAACTAAGTTGTTTATCTGACCTTCCATGAAATCAGGAGAAAGAGAGGTAATAGCCAAATCCCCAGATGGGCCAGTTTTAGCTGGCATGATAAGGAAATTCCCTCTGGTTTCACCTTTACAAAGAAAGTAACCTTGCAATGAGAATCCACTCTTTGTTCTGTTTCTGCTTTCTTCAGCCATTTTCTGACTATAGAGTCAACCTCCTCTGCTCAGCTCATCAGAGCACTCATTTTGAGGTGTTGCCTGATACTAGAGTTGCAAATAAAAGCCAGTTGAGATTTTTAAGCTAAACTTGTTTTGTTTTTGGTAATTCTAAAAGGAAAATGGAAAATGAGTGGAAGTAGAAAAGAATAAATGGGCTTCAAACACTCTACTTGCTAGTGGATAAACAAAATAGTCAAGTTTTTACCTTTAAAAAATGTATAAAGTACCTGATTCAAATGCATACCTGTGAATGCATGCAGACATAAACCTCCACACTAGAGTGTACATTTACTTCCTTTTCTCTACCCAGCATGCAACTGCCCTACTTAGTGGGCATTTATCTTGCTTCTGCATGAGAAGGGTCAGGCCTTTTCACACTCTCGACCCTTGTATTTCAGAGTCACTCTCAGTTCCAGAGCATTCAACCCAGACCTAACCATTCTCCTGGCCTCAGGGACTGGCTCACTTGAGCCAATCAGACCAACCAGAAACAATATTGGGCATTTTGTTTGAATGATTTGGAAGAGGTCCTTCCTCCTTCTCATTGTGCTTGATGCCATGAGGATGTAGGGGCTGGAGCAATGGCAGTCATTTTGGCCCCATGAGGGAGAGATTGAAGCTGCCAGGGGATACCACAGGGGCCTGAAATGAAGCCAGGACTGAGAGAAGAGAAATCACATCCTGATGACACCATGAAAACTCAGGATCCAGCCATTCTTGAAGCCAAGGTCTAGCTCTGGACTTTTCAATTATAAGAACCAATAAGTTTCTCATTTTTTGTTTCCTTAAGCCAGTTGGAATTAGGGTTTTTTGTTTGGTCTTTGTTTTGGTCATTTGCAACTGGTAGAGTCTTAACTGATAAATCAAGACCCTGACAGCCTAATGATGACACAAGAAATACACAGAAATTCAACTGTTCAACTGCCCTTCTCAGTCATATGCCAAGTTTGTCCTCTTTCTTCATATTTCTAATTCTTTGTTCATAGGGCTTTAGTAACCCTGTTAAAGGGTGCAATTTAATCAATGTACATCTGACATATCAAATAATAATGCCTTTTATATGTATCATCTACAAAATTCATTTTATGTATATTTTCTAAATCCAAAAAAACAACACTAAAGGAGATAGTAGTCACAGTTTAATGACTAAGAACTAACTAAAATGTTTTAAAGTTTACTTGGCACTAAGACCTTATAGCTGGGGTGAGGGCCAGGTCTTCTTTTCGATATTATCTTTATGTCCATTATTCTTTTCATCACACCACAAATATTTTTATCTTCAAAAGTATAATTGGCTATATGTACAAATAAGACATAAACATTAAGCAGATTAAGAGATACAAGACTTTTTAAAATAGTATAATCTTACCTAAATCAATATCTCGAATTCCCATGTACAATTCAAGAACATCATCAATCTTTTCAATTGCCTTTGCTTTGGTTTCAGAAGGCTTTATCAAAAAAGAGAGAAATAAGATATTATATAACAAAATCTCTTGATTGTCAGGGCATACACAAGAGAAAGTCTGATGTGGAGCCAGTTCATGATTGTGTACTTCAGCTAATTTTAATGGAAATATATCTAGAATGTGCTCTGTAACTAAATACATATCAATACAGTAAATACTTATTTTTAGTGTCTGCACTAAGAGTTACGGATTCGAAAAAGAAAAGCCAGGAACACCATCCCCAAGTAGCTAACAATCTAGAAGAGGAAACAGATGTGAAAATAAATAACATGTAACAGTTTTTAAAGGATATAAAACTTACAGAAGCATCACAGGGAAGGAAGCAAATTTATATCGCTAACAGTCATGGAAGACTTCAGAAAGAAGGTGACTTGGCTGAGCACAGTGGCTTTTGCCTGTAATCCCAGCACTTTGGAAGGCTGAGGTGGGAGAGCTGCTTCAGCCTAGGAGTTCAAGACCAGCCCAGGCAACATGGTGAGACTCCATCTCCACAAAAAAAAAAAAAAAAAAAAAAAAAAACAATTAATTAAAATAATTAGCTGGGTGTGGTGGCACATGCTTGTAATCTCAGCCACGTGGGAGGCTAAAATGGGAGGATCACTTGAGCCTGAGAGGTCTAGACAAGCCTGGGTAATATGGCAAGATTCTCTCTCTACCAGTTAATTAATTTAATTAAAAAGTAACCAGGTGTGGTGGTATGCACCTTTAGTCCCAGCCACTCAGAAGGCTAAAGTGAGAAGATCACTTAAGCCCAGGATAATGAGGCTGTAGTGAGCCATAATTCTGCCACTGCACTCCAGCCTGAAAAAAGGGCAAGACTCTGTCTCAGAAAAAAAGAAGGATGTCTTAAGAACTGCGGTGGGTTTTGTTTTTTGTTTTGTTTTGTTTTGTCTTCTTTTGTTTTGTTTTGTTTTGTTTGAGACAAAGTCTCCTTCTGTTGTCCAGGCTGAAGTGCAGTGGTGTGATCTCAGTTCACTGCAACCTCTGCCTCCCAAGTAGCTGGGATTACAGGCGTGCACTACCACGCCCAGCTAATTTTTTGTATTTTTTTAGTAGAGACGGGGTTTTCACCATGTTGGCCAGGCTGGTCTCGAATTCCTGGACTCAAGTGATCCGCCCACCTTGGCCTCCTAAAGTGCTGGGATTACAGGCGTGAGCCACCATGCACAGCCAAGAACTGTGTTTTCAATGATGAAGAGGAGATAAGCAGGAGAGGACACTTCAAGCAGGATGTAATAGATAGGCAAAGTCTAAGTAAGGTCAGAGAGTCATGTTAGAGGGATGCCAGAAGTCCCATGTAGCTGGAGAACACAGTGACAAATACGACTAGATCTTGAGGGGTCCTGTGTACCACGAAAAGGATTTTGGTCTTTATTGTGCAGGCCGGAGTCTTCAAACTTTTGATGGCTCATCCCAATAGTAAAACATTTCTGAACAAATACCCTTATTGTGTATTTTTAACTTTATTGTATGTATTGTTTATAAATTACAAATGTATTACCATATTAATATATTGTATACATTATAAAAATACACCAAAAAATGAAATTTTATAAGAATGAGATGATAAAATAATATTTTTAAGATCATTTTTGTGTTATGTATTTTTTTTTCAATGAACTTTTTTTTTTTAATTTATTTATTATTATTATACTTTAAGTTGTAGGGTACATGTGCATAACGTGCAGGTTTGTTACATATGTATACTTGTGCCATGTTGCTGTGCTGCACTCATTAACTCGTCATTTACATCAGGTATAACTCCCAATGCAATCCCTCCCCCCTCCCCCCTCCCCATGATAGGCCCCAGTGTGTGATGTTCCCCTTCCTGAGTCCAAGTGATCTCATTGTTCAGTTCCCACCTATGAGTGAGAACATGCGGTGTTTGGTTTTCTGTTCTTGTGATAGTTTGCTAAGAATGATGGTTTCCAGCTGCATCCATGTCCCTACAAAGGACACAAACTCATCCTTTTTTATGGCTGCATAGTATTCCATGGTGTATATGTGCCACATTTTCTTAATCCAATCTGTCACTGATGGACATTTGGGTTGATTCCAAGTCTTTGCTATTGTGAATAGTGCTGCAATAAACATACGTGTGTGTGTGTCTTTATAGCAGCATAATTTATAATCCTTTGGGTATATACCCAGTAATGGGATGGCTGGGTCATATGGTACATCTAGTTCTAGATCCTTGAGGAATCGCCATACTGTTTTCCATAATGGTTGAACTAGTTTACAATCCCACCAACAGTGTAAAAGTGTTCCTATTTCTCCACATCCTCTCCAACACCTGTTGTTTCCTGACTTTTTAATGATCGCCATTCTAACTGGTGTGAGATGGTATCTCATTGTGGTTTTGATTTGCATTTCTCTGATGGCCAGTGATGATGAGCATTTTTTCATGTGTCTGTTGGCTGTATGAATGTCTTCTTTTGAGAAATGTCTGTTCATATCCTTCGCCCACTTTTTGATGGGGTTGTTTGTTTTTTTCTTGTAAATTTGTTTGAGTTCTTTGTAGGTTCCGGATATTAGCCCTTTGTCAGATGAGTAGATTGCAAAAATTTTCTCCCATTCTGTAGGTTGCCTGTTCACTCTGATGGTAGTTTCTTTTGCTGTGCAGAAGCTCTTTAGTTTAATGAGATCCCATTTGTCAATTTTGGCTTTTGCTGCTGTTGCTTTTGGTGTTTTAGACATGAAGTCTTTGCCCATGCCTATGTCCTGAATGGTACTACCTAGGTTTTCCTCTAGGATTTTTATGGTATTAGGTCTAACTTTAAGTCTCTTATCCATCTTGAATTAATTTTCGTATAAGGAGTAAGGAAAGGATCCAGTTTCAGCTTTCTACTTATGGCTAGCCAATTTTCCCAGCACCATTTATTAAATAGGGAATCCTTTCCCCATTTCTTGTTTCTCTCAGGTTTGTCAAAGATCAGATGGCTGTAGATGTGTAGTATTATTTCTGAGGGCTCTCTTCTGTTTCATTGGTCTATATCTCTGTTTTGGTACCAGTACCATGCTGTTTTGGTTACTGTAGCCTTGTAGTATAGTTTGAAGTCAGGTAGCGTGATGCCTCCAGCTTTGTTCTTTTGACTTAGGATTGTCTTGGAGATGCGGGCTCTTTTTTGGTTCCATATGAACTTTAAAGCAGTTTTTTCCAATTCTGTGATGAAACACATTGGTAGCTTGATGGGGATGGCATTGAATCTATAAATTACCTTGGGCAGTATGGCCATTTTCACGATATTGATTCTTCCTATCCATGAGCATGGTATGTTCTTCCATTTGTTTGCGTCCTCTTTTATTTCACTGAGCAGTGGTTTGTAGTTCTCCTTGAAGAGGTCCTTTACATCCCTTGTAAGTTGGATTCCTAGGTATTTTATTCTCTTTGAAGCAATTGCGAATGGAAGTTCATTCCTGATTTGGCTCTCTGTTTGTCTGTTACTGGTGTATAAGAATGCTTGTGATTTTTGCACATTAATTTTGTATCCTGAGACTTTGCTGAAGTTGCTTATCAGCTTAAGGAGATTTTAGGCTGAGACAATGGGGTTTTCTCAATATACAATCATGTCATCTGCAGACAGGGACAATTTGACTTCTTCTTTTCCTAACTGAATACCCTTGATTTCTTTCTCTTGCCTAATTGCCCTAGCCAGAACTTCCAACACTATGTTGAATAGGAGTGGTGAGAGAGGGCATCCCTGTCTTGTGCCAGTTTTCAAAGGGAATTTTTCCAGTTTTTGCCATTCAGTATGATATTGGCTATGGGTTTGTCATAAATAGCTCTTATTATTTTGAGGTATGTTCCATCAATACCGAATTTATTGAGCGTTTTTAGCATGAAGGGCTGTTGAATTTTGTCAAAAGCCTTTTCTGCATCTATTGAGATAATCATGTGGTTCTTGTCTTTGGTTCTGTTTATATGCTGGATTATGTTTATTGATTTGCGAATGTTGAACCAGCCTTGCATCCCAGGGATGAAGCCCACTTGATCATGGTGGATAAGCTTTTTGATGTGTTGCTGAATCCGGTTTGCCAGTATTTTATTGAGGATTTTCGCATCGATGTTCATCAGGGATATTGGTCTAAAATTCTCTTTTTTTGTTGTGTCTCTGCCAGGCTTTGGTATCAGGATGATGTTGGCCTCATAAAATGAGTTAGGGAGGATTCCCTCTTTTTCTATTGATTGGAATAGTTTCAGAAGGAATGGTACCAACTCCTCCTTGTACCTCTGGTAGAATTCAGCTGTGAATCCATCTGGTCCTGGACTTTTTTTGGTTGGTAGGCTATTAATTATTGCCTCAATTTCAGAGCCTGCTATTGGTCTATTCAGGGATTCAACTTCTTCCTGGTTTAGTCTTGGAAGAGTGTAAGTGTCCAGGAAATTATCCATTTCTTCTAGATTTTCCAGTTTATTTGCGTAGAGGTGTTTATAGTATTCTCTGATGGTAGTTTGTATTTCTGTGGGGTCGGTGGTGATATCCCCTTTATCATTTTTAATTGCGTCGATTTGATTCTTCTCTCTTTTCTTCTTTATTAGTCTTGCTAGTGGTCTGTCAATTTTGTTGATCTTTTCAAAAAACCAACTCCTGGATTCATTGATTTTTTGGAGGGTTTTTTGTGTCTCTATCTCCTTCAGTTCTGCTCTGATCTTAGTTCTTTGTTGCCTTCTGCTAGCTTTCGAATGTGTTTGCTCTTGCTTCTCTAGTTCTTTTAATTGTGATGCTAGGGTGTCAATTTTAGATCTTTCCTGCTCTCTCTTGTGGGCATTTAGTGCTATAAATTTCCCTCTACACACTGCTTTAAATGTGTCCCAGAGATTCTGGTATGTTGTATCTTTGTTCTCATTGGTTTCAAAGAACATCTTTATTTCTGCCTTCATTTCGTTATGTACCCAGTAGTCATTCAGGAGCAGGTTGTTCAGTTTCCATGTAGTTGAGCGGTTTTGATTGAGTTTCTTAGTCCTGAGTTCTAGTTTGATT